GTCCCAAGCTCAACCTTTTCCATTTCAAAACGACGATATATGGAAAGGGTTCGAGGTACCTTCAAAAAGAAAGTGAACCACATTCAACTAAATAAACTGAAACTAATAAGTCATACAACGGAAGTTATAGTGTTTTTTTTTACCTATTGCACAAATATTTTCTTATTATGGGAAAACATTTAACAAATGAATAGTTTTGATTCTATCTTTTAATGTTTAATATAACTAATGGAGACAATGAAGAGATTCTATATTAGTATGATCATAACAAAAAGTTAAAGGGAAATGAAATAATGATACAGTCATTATTTAAGGGTAGGAGCCATTCACTATTTCTAGTTGTTAGCCATAGACTGGGATTTTGCACCGTTATCAATATGTTTTCAAGTTGCACTAATTAAAAGATAATGGAAAAGTTTAGTAATCTAATTAACTCCACTTATTTACTTATTTTCTCGGTGAAAGAATTTTTTATAGAGAGTCAAATTACATTAAATGAGTGAAAAGCAAGAGTTTCAAATCAAGAAAAGAAAATGAAATAATTAGAACACATGATAGAATGAAGGATCTTAGAGTTACAACTGAATTAAAATTACACTCTAATTTTGTGAATCTTAAAAAATAATTATACTCAAAACAACACACAATCATAAAGTAAATTAAAAAGGTATCTTAAGGGAAAAAAATAAGCCTAAAAATTTGAAGAAAAAAGGCTAGAAATTTATGATCTAAACAAAATTTATCTCCAAAGTTGTTAAATGTGAAATTTTACCACCAAATTAACTTGAATCGCCCTTCTTGCCACACTGCTGAACCGAATCCTGGAGAATGAGAGAGATAGAGATTAGGATAACATACGAATAGAAACATAGCAAATATTTCTGCCGATCAATAATGAGTGTGCTCCCCTATCTACCCCTCGCTTAAATACCAAACTTTTGTTGACAATAGGTTCTAAACCCATGACGCAAACTTAACTCACACATAACATATGCTGCACTCTTTAGCATCTACACCAAAGTGCTACGGGCAACTTCGAGACATTAATGGAGCCAATAAAAATAGAAACATATAATTAACTAACAAAACTAGGACAAACTTGATTTGTCTACCTAAAATACACAGACACAATACAGAGAAACAACCACTTCACTTGCAAGACCCAGATAATATAACATTTTATTACTCTGTAGATAAAATGATCACATGAGGACAAAAAAAAACAGCTCTTGTGCAATAGAATTAAAGGTCAAAGTGAGCTTTCTAAGCCTTCCCATTACCATACCAAAGACAAAAGGTTTCTATGTTTTCACAAGGAAAATGATCAAACTTTCACCCGTCTAGCTCTAGGCCATCTCATAGCACACATCTACATGTTGATCTAGTAAAACAATGTCATGTCATCTTATACAAGACAATATCACAATCACAACATTGAACTATATATCCATTCATTGCCGAAAAGTGTATTACATGTTAACCTACTATGATAATACTAGAAGAGTAGATATCATATATTGCCATCCTAGTAAAAACAAACTAAGGTTCACTAGCAATATCTATTGAATTTATAATTCAATTACTACTATTACAACCCAATATGCTCAAAATCAAATTCAAGCTCAACTACCTAGATACTCGATGTTCATATTCCTCCATTAAAGAATATATGCTAATTAAAAAACATCAGAACAGGTTTAGGAATTCATCTGCTAAACACCCAAACCACAAAAAAAATCTCACACTCACTGAGCATGAAAACGCCTATAGTAGAAAATTGGACTTCACTAAAATTTCAATTCAAAACATCAAATAATATCCAAGTCTTGTAGTATCTCTAATAGGAACTTCAAACAAGTATTCATTATGATAGAAGCAAATTTAAATAGCCATATAAAATGGATCGTATATGAAGGAATATTGATTGTATTGAAGTGTTAACTTAATAAGGGAATACATGGGAGATATACATAGGAGATATAGGAAGGAGTACTAATCCTAATAGGACTAGGATTAAGGAGTACTAATCCTAATATGACTAGGATTAGTACACAGTAAATACTAATATTATTTAATACTATCTGTTATTATCCCCCCTCAAGCTGAGCTGAGCGGAAGCGAACGGAAGCTTGGAACTGAGGTAATCGTGTTGTCGGCTCGGGAGAGGCTTGGTGAAAATTTCAGCCGGTTGTTCTTCAGTGGGTACATACTGCACAGTCATGGTGCCGGACTGAACTTCATCGCGAACAAAGAGACAATCAGTATCAACGTGCTTCATTCTGGTGTGTAGGATGGAATTCTTGGCCACACAGATGGTTGATTTGTTGTCAAAATAGAGAGCAGGAACAATGTGAGTGGCGCGGAGTTCGCGAAGAATATATGTGATCCACATGGTCTCAGTAGCAAGAAGAGAAAGGGCGCGGTATTCAGCTTCAGTCGAGGACCGAGAGACCTTGGGTTGTTTTTTTGTACACCAGGAGATCAGGTTCGGCCTCAAAAAAACGAGAAATCCCGATGTAGATTTTCTGTCATTTTTATCATTCGCCCAATCAGAATCTGAGAAACCCCGAAGCTCCAAGTCCCCGGGTCGAATGAGTAAACCACGACCAAGAGTTCCAAAAATGTACCTGTGAATGCATTTTAGACAATGGTAATCATGTTCACTTGGTTGATGCATGTGATGAGCAACTCGGTTGACAGCAAACTGGATGTCAGGGAGGGTAATGGCCAGATACTGTAGAGCCCCAATGAGGCTGCGGAAGTGGGTGATATCGGCAAAGGGGGTGTCGTCTCCATTCGTAGATGAAGAGACTGCCATCAGTGTTGGTTGACTGGTGCATTTTTCCAGTCCAGCTTTCTACAACAGATCTCGAGCATATTTTGACTGATGAAGAAACAAGTCGCTGCCTGTCCGAAAAACCTCCATTCCCAAAAAAAAATGTAACAGGCCAAGGTCCTTCATTTTGAAGGTAGTATGCATAGCTCGAGTGACATCCTGAATGAGAGCTGCAGTAGAGTCGTTCCCAAAAGTAATACCATTGGAGCCATGATATGGATTTGGAGCGTTAAGCTTGGATAGATCAGAAGTAACGTGCATGTTAGCCCCAGTATCCAACAACCATTCAGAGGAAGGGCCGGCTTGAGATGCATAATTAACACGGTTATCACTATTTCGGCTCTCCTCATACCAAAACCAGCAACGAACAGCGGTGTGTCCTATTTTCTGACAGATTTGACAAGTTGGATGATCCCGCTCGTAAGTGCCCTGCCCGCCGCTGGAAGATGACTGCCCGTCGCTACCGAAAGAGTGCAGGCTGTTGTTGCTGTCGTGCTGCTGACCGTCATACGGCGGACGATTGCCCTGCTGACTGCCGCGCCCGTGGCCTCCCCTGTTTCTGCCGTAGCCGTCGCGGCTCCCCTGTCGACCGCCACCACGCCCCCCGCAATAGTTCTGGCTTGCAGTGAGGGCGGTGGCTGGCTCCATAACAGCGGCTTCTCGGAGAAGAAGTTTTCTCTCCAGATCCACGTTGATTTCTTCACTTTTTAGCCACGAGGAGAGAGTAGCCAGGTCAACGGGCGTTGGACTGATGCGAACCGCCTGTTTAATAGAGGAGTAAGCTAATGGGAGCCCCCGAACGACGCACATGACGAGATCTTTTTCGGGAATGATTTCGTTCACGGTGTCGAGGGCTGTGATGATGGTGAAGACCTCATCTAAATACTCCGCCATAGTTTTTGTGCCTTTGGTAATGGTGTGGAGACGATCACACAATTAAAAAATATTAGAGTGGGAAATAGATGCATAGCGTGTTGCGAGGGCCATCCACAGGGCTGAAGCAGTTGTGTAGGATCGGACGTGTTTCTGAACTGTGGGAGAGATGACCGCAATCAAACATGATCGGATCTGGCCATCCACGACTTTCCAGGCGGCATGGGCCGGATTGGTTTTTTCTGATTTGTCCGTGGCGGTGATGACTGCCGGCGCCGGTTCTGTGCTTCCATCGACGCATTTGAGAAAGTAATTGGCCTCAAGGGCTGTAAGAACGGTGATTTTCCATGTAGGGTAATTTATGTCTGATAATTTTTTGGGAATCAGGGCATGAAGATGCCTGAGAAGGAGTTTAACGCTAGAAGAAAGTGAATCGAGAGGATCCACCTCGGTTGTCATGGCTGCCGCCGCCCAAGAGAAGAGAGGGAACGATCGGTGCCCTAAATCACACCCCAAAAGCTAGCTCAAGGGGAGGAGGATTGCCCAAGCCTTATAAGGAGTCCACCCATTTCATTAATCACCGATGTGGGACTTTTGTCGTTATTTAACACCCCACCTCACGCCCAGTGCTTAGCATTTGGTGTGTGGGCAATTTTAATTTTGGGGACCCCAACATCGGGTGAGACGGGCCCTGCTCTGATACCATGAAGGAATATTGATTGTATTGAAATGTTAACCTAATAAGAGAATACATGGGAGATATATATAGGAGATATAGGAAGGAGTACTAATACTAATAGGACTAGGATTAAGGAGTACTAATCATAATAGGACTAGGATTAGTACGCTGTAAATACTAATATTATTTAATACTATCTGTTATTAGTATAGTACCAGCATAAATCATCATGATGCACTAAGTTTTTTTTTTAATCAAATAACCTAAGCAATATGTGCATTTCGAAACTGACTAATCATCAATTTAGCTTTTAATTTTTTTAGACAAACAATCTAGTCAAAAGCGGCAAGATATTGACACATGATATAAACCCTAAAATGAAACATATATAATACTATAATTAAAAAACTCATGAGCGAATTTCACAAATCTATAAACAACACATTCCGTGTAATCTCCAAGGTGGAATCTAAAGAAGATAGAGTGTGTGCAACATTATTACTACCTTGCAGACGAGGAAAGAAAGTTGTTTCCAAAATATATATATACATACAATTATACAAAATGAAGTTCTATATAAAGAGGAGCCAAAATTGGATGCCAAAATTTGAATTTGGTACACAATTAAAACAAAATCAAAACCCAACTGTTGATGAATGTTTCAAACAAAAACATAAAAAACATCAGCCTAAAGAAGATGATAAACATAGATAAACCGTTGAGAACTGCGGAATGTGCTTCTACTTCAATCCTTCTCTCATTTTTCAGCGCTTCCTCTTCAACCTCCTCATACGCTTCTTCTTCCACTATAGAAAAATAAAAAACAAACAAAATGAAAAAATTTAGCATAAAAGACTTGCGGAATGAGTGAAAATGGATAAATATTGTGCTACAAAATTCATGTTAGCTTAACTCTCATTCTGAGTAAAATGATAAAATGCATGCATTAGGTATGTATATTAGTAGTGCCTTGTTTGGTACACTCTATTGTGTATTAATTTGGGCATTACTAAAACAATGGAATTCAAGGTATAAGTAGTACATTGCATTTTAACACTTGCATTAGATTAAATAATTACAAAACTACCCATAAAACCTTTTCATTTTCCTTGTGTTATATACTTTTATTTTTATTTTTATTTGCTTTTTAGTGTCTTTTAGTTTGTTTGTGTCTTAATATGTTTTATGTCCTCTTAAGTATCTTTTTCTTTAAAAAAATTACTCTTATTTAATATAATTTAATCCAAAAAAAATTGTACTGTGATGATAAATTTTATTTAATAATTCTTTCCCAACTTCTCACAAAAATATTTTGACGCAATAGGATGAGGAGGAATGAATTTGTTGCAAAGAAAGTGTACAAATAAATAAAGTGTGAAAGACATTTTTGTAACATATATTTTTTAATAGAAATTATGCAAAATAACATGTGATGATAAATTTTATTTAATAATTCTTTCCTAACTTCTCACAAAAATATTTTGACGCAATAGGATGAGGAGGAATGAATTTGTTGCAAAGAAAGTGTACAAATAAATAAAGTGTGAAAGACATTTTTGTAACATATATTTTTTAATAGAAATTATGCAAAATTTGTTATTTCTAATACATCAAACCAAAAATGTATAATACGTAATGCTTGCATAACTAATGTAAAGATTACTAATGCAAGCACTACTAACGCAAGCATTACTAAGGCACCCTATTTTACATGTTCTTTTGCACTCTACCAAACAACCCGTAATATTGTAGTACATGAAAGAGAGTGCATAAAATAATTTAAAGTATATTCTATATGACTCATATTAGATGATTTCTTCAATAACAACAAGGTGACTCTAAACACCAAACTCAATTTTGAGTGGTCAATGAACATTTCTAAGTTACCTATGTGGTTTTTTTTTTTCAAATTGTTGGGGAAATATTAGAAAATTTCACAATAATAATAACATTAAATAATTAATTTATCAAAAAGTAATCCTGAAAATAAGATAAATGTTACTATGAAGATATATAAATGATAGGACACAAAATAGATAAATACTTGAGTCGTGTTGGGCACTGTCCTAAAAAACTATTTCAACAGTGTGAAATGTTTCCCCAGGATTTAAGAAGAACTTCCCTATCTTAATAAATAGAGTTAGCAGAAATCAACAAATTAATTAACATCAGCAAGTCATTACAGAAAATAAAAGAATTACAAAGCCAAAACATAATGAAATTAAAAAACAACAAAGAGAGGCAAAACATTAGTGAAAGAGGGAGCAACAAAGTGATTAGTATTTTTCCTTATGTAAATAATCAAATGGAGAGGATCAATTTATAGACAAGAAGATTGTTCCAAATAAGGACAAGTGTCCATGACACTTTACACTTGTCCAAAAAGGTGACACTTAGAGAAATTTAACAAGAAAGAAATCAGCACATTCTTAGAAAGTACCATCCTTTCCAAGTAAACAATTAAATTTAACAAGAAAGAAATCAGCACATTCTTAGAAAGTACCATCCTTTCCAAGTAAACAATTAACTTCTTGACTACACTTCATTTTATTAAATTTTCTTTTCAACTACTTTTCTAAAATACTCTTTTAAAACAAATAATTTTCTTACAATCCCCCACTTATTTCAACTACTTTTCTAAAATACTCTTTTAAAATAAATAATTTTCTTACAATCCCCCACTTATTTCAAAAGATTTTATAAAAATATAACTTGGTGAATTTTCAGAACAAAAATGTAATAGGTTTGGTGTCTTTAGGACTATGAATCAAACTTAGATCGATAAAATTTTATTTATCGAATTACTGGTGAAATATAATATTTCTATGAACCAAATAGTTCTAGTTATAAATCAGTGACTTTATTAATCACATTTTGACCACAAAAATTCTGTTGTTCAACGTGGTTTTGCACCTATGGGTCATGCGCATTCCTGGTATTCATGAGAGCTCTAGAGTCCAGGCCAAAGTCTCACAGGAGCGCCACATGCCAACTCACATATAGGTGAACTCATCAAATGTACACTGCTTTAAATACACCTTCCTTAATTAAGGACTATGGATTACCCATATGAACCTACTTCATGGGATTTCCAATCACATAGGTTGAGTTCACATCTCTATTACTAACAAATGGCCTTAAACCCTTTCTATTGAAGTCTAAAGATAAATTTCCTTTCCACGAGTTTCTTTAGTAAATGGGTCAAATTCAATTCTGACTTCACATAATCAATTGCAATTATACCATTTTTCAGCAGGTGCTTAACGACATCATGCCTCAATACATGTGTCTAATCTTACAATTGTAAGATTCATTCTTCGCAATATTGATTGAACCTTCACAATCCAGCATATAAACACATGAGACAATTTATCCTTATCAAAGGGATCAACAATTCATCCTTTATCGAAGGAATATTCGCTAAGATTTTTTTTATCCATTCAGCTTAAGAACCTGCCAGCTCTAAAACTACAAACTCTAACTCCATAGTCGATCTAGCAATGATCGTCTCTTTAGCTAATTTTCAGGATATTGCACCACCACCTAAGGTGTACACATATCAACTAGTGGATATCGTCTCATCTGAATTAGAGACCCAGGATGCATCACAATACCCTTCTAAAGTAGAAGGAAATTCACCATACATGATACCATAATTTATGATTCCTCTCAAATATTTCATCAGTTTATTCAACGCAAACTAATGCTCATTTTTGGGATTATGAGTATATATACTCAATCTACAAACAACATAGGCAATATCAGGCTTAGTAAAAGTTATGAAATGCAATAGACTTCCGATTCATATTTAGACGGAGCAACAGGGTCAACATAAATTTAGAGTTAGTATCATAAGGAGTGGCTACATATGTCACCTCCAACCATTCAAATCTTTTAAAAAGTCTTTCCACATAATTTTCTTGTGACAACATTATACCATTTTCATTCCTTATTACCTTAACTCCAAAAATGATATTTACTTACCCACAATCATTCATATAAAAATTAGTAGATAAAATATATCAATACTATTCATAATATTTAGACTTGTATCAAATATAAACATCTTATCCACATATAAGTATATTAGCACATAATCATTGTCTACACATTTATCCACTTTGATAAAAGAGCAAGTTGTCTTTCAATAAGACTTAATCTAATTTTTGATGTCACTGTTTAGGATATTGTTATAGTCCATAAAGAGTTCTAAGTAACTTACAAAATTTATTTTCTTGTCCAAAAATAATACATCCTTTAGTTTAAACAATGTAAATCTCTTCTGCTAAATCACCATTTAAGAAAATCGGTTTATATTCATTTGGTGAGTAAAAAGCTTGTGAATTGATGCTAAGACAATTAAAATTTGAATAGAATAAATTCTAGTCAATGGGGCAATTGAATAAAAAAACAACATTTTATTTCTCAAAAAATTCTTTTGCTACAACCGAGCTTTACATTTATCTATAGGTCCATCATGATTAAGTTTATTTTTAAAAAATTCTTTTACAACCAATAGGGAATGCTCCAGGAGATAAGTCAGTCAAAATCCATGTTATATTTTTCATAATAGAATCAAGTTCATTTTTTATTGCCTCTTTCAAACTTTAGCATCAGAAGAAGATATAGCTTCAATACTATTTAATGGTTTATTGTGGATAGTAGAAGTTTAAAAATCATTTCAATAGAAAAAGTACTCTTTCTTGGTCTTTTATAGAGTTCCTCAATATTAAAGAAATTATCATGATTTCTTTAAAAAGTTGCATGAGAAGTTTTATCACACAGTAGAAAAAAATTAGCATTCTTTGTCTCAATAATAGTATTGAAATAAAGTACATCACTTTTCAAAACAAGAAACTTATATGCAACACTATTTTCGTATATCCAATAAACAAACAATTAATCAACAGTTTTAAAACCTATTGATTTCATGTTTTAGAATCAATTTTTTTTCTTTCTAGGTTCACACAAAAGAACTTTAGCAAGACAACCCCACATTTTTAAATAATTTAAGTTAGATCGATAACCTTTTCACAATTCCTAAGGAGTTCTACCAGTTCTTTTATGAGGATTTATACTTTGTAAGAGGCGTGGAGATAAAATAGTTTCACCCCACAAATTATCAGGAGCATTAGGACTAATTAACATGAAATTTATCATTTCTTTCAAAGTTCTATTTTTTCTTTAAGTTACTCCATTAGACTCATGTGAATAAGGCGGGGGGTTACTTCATTAATAATTCCTTGATTTTCACATAAAACATTAAAGATACAAATTCTCCACCTCTATCATATTGAAATATTTAAATTTTTCTATCAAGTTTTCAACTCAGAGTTATACGCATAAAACATCAAATCATCATCTTTATTTATGAGAAAATACAATTTAGTAAATCTAAAAAAATAATCAATAAAAGTCACATAATATCTTTACCACCCCTAGTCATAGTCTGTTTCAAATCGCCCAAATCATAGTGGATCAAAGATAATAATTTAGATTCTCTACTTACTTATAAACATGACTTTTTAGTAATTTTAGCTTCAAAAACTTATTTCACATTTATCAAAATTAAACTCTAAACCAAATATTAAACCAAGAAAATGCAGGTTCTTAATATATTAGACATTGACATGTTATAAAGAAACATGCAAAAGCAAATACAACTTTAATATAATCATTAAAATTATTTAAATTTAAATCATATATTAAATCTCCAGATCGCATATTTTTAATATAAGATACATTAACATGTCCTAATATGGCATGCCATAATAAAATAGAATCAATCATGTAAGCATAAATAAAT